CAGGAATTTAGAGCAGTGGAAAACATTGCACCCTGTGACACATTTTGGGATTCATGCTGCTGAACTGGAATTCTGTTTCCTGACAATGTGTGATTGTCTTACCTCCTAGCTGCGGAGGTACAGAACGATTGCAAACACATTATCTAATTGTTTTCAAATTGAGCCTGTTTCTTCAGTCATATTAACGCTTTGCTCAGAGCTGATGAGTTTCTTGTCTGCAGTCATTAACTAAATCACAGATTAAAATTCCTTAATGTCTTTAAACACGGGAAGCTTAAGCAATTGCTTAATTGTGTATCTGCTAAATTCTTTTTTTTTTCTTCTGTCTCCAGAAAGCTATCAATTAAAATTTTTGTTATTGCCATTTTCACCTTAGTTTTAACAAAGAGATAGAAGTTAGACTTTCAAAGTGGGACCAGGAATCTATGACAGCAGCATTCTGTATTCTAGCTGTGATAATAGTCCCTGTATTTGTTCTTCCTTCCTGACTTTCTGAACATGAACAATTCTGTAATTCAACATGAATTATAAAAAAAAACCTTTTTAAAATTTCTTTGGTTCCTGATCTCCCTCTTGTGTTTTCCAAGTAACACCAAACGGAGCAGAGCCAGGTTTTAATGCACCTGTAGTATTCAATAAACTTCTGTTGGAGACTCACCCATCAGTCTCTTTGCATTTCCACTCCCAGCAACAGCTAAGGAAAACAACAACACAAGGTGATATTTCTGGTCCTGTGTCAGTCACTACTTATGAAAGTCTCTCTTGCACACACCTGCGATATGAAAGGACATTATGCTGTCATATAAACGCAGCCCTTTGATGGGGCCACAGTCAAAAGACGTACCTAAATGTCTTCAGGTGTTTAACACTGCAAGTTCAAAGTGACCAATCTCAGAAATCAGGTAAGGCTTACGTGGCTGATTTTCTTTGGTTACCATCCACAGTCCCCAGAGAGATGTATTTTTATATTTGTTTGCATTCTTTAGGCACTCTTGATAACAGATTTGAGTCGAATAAACCCCAGGCATCTCCAGGGAAACACGGTAATTCCTGTAACTGATCCTAAATGAAACATGGTGACAGAACGGATGAACAGACTCTTTCAGAAGAGAAGAGTTGGGCTATACCACAGAGTGTAAAATAAAAAACCGTACGGATTTCCAGTCTTCAGCTAACCATTCCTCATCCCTTACACGTTTTTTTTCCTCTACTTTTCCCCATCAGCCAGGGAGAGATATTAAGCAGCCTGACCTCTTCTGAAAAGTTCTTGCACATGTGGCATTTTAAATCTCATCCCTTATTGACATGAAATCAAACAGCTGCACTGCTCAAAAATGATTTATCTGAGGGTTGTCTGTGGCAAGTGGCTTCTGTTTGCTGTCTGTGCATACACCAGCACAAAGTGTTGAGTCATCGGCTTCAGAAACCTCTGTGCCCTACAGAGAAGCAATACTGAATTGTTTTGTGTGCTCAGATTTTGAATGCTTCGTTCAACCATCCTTTTCACAACATCCTTATTACTTAAACAATTACTATCATATTACCATAAAACCACGTAATTGTTGCTCACAGCCTGTGTAACCAGCTCGAGGAAGCCTAATGAGCTAGTGGAAAGGATAGGACCGAAACAGCCTTGCGGAGAAAGAAAAGCTGAACAAAATTTGATGATGCAGGAGGATTTTAATACAAGCGGCAAATGGGATACACTGCAGAACAAGATGACACACAACACAAAGCAGACACTTCCTTAGTTCCAGGGAAGGGTACAGCATTCACTGCCTATGAAGAGTCCATTTTCTACCAGTCATTCTTCTCCTGTCACAGTTTTATTGACAATGTCTGTGTCAGGTCTTTCAAATTATATTTTTTTCTTACATTGGCAGAACAAAAACAGGGATCTAGCATTGTGAGATGATTAACAGAAGCTGTCATTACTAATAGACAAAGTGAAAAATGCAAGAAAGAGGTGTGGAACCAGTTTTCTGAGGTACTGAGCAAGGGTGGCTCTCGTTGATGCAATGGGCTTTCACACCTCTGAAAGCCAGCCCCGGCTGCAGATCTGGATCTTGCGTTTTCGTCTCCTAAGTTGTCGCGTGGTCTGCAGGTATTCAGGCTGCCTTAAAATGAGCCACAGTTTCCAAGGCGGGAGCCACAGCTGCTGCTGTAGGACCTCCTGCTGTAACAGCCCCCCACTCCTGAGGAGCCTCCATACCCAAAGGAACCCCCAGATCCAAAGGAACCCCCCATCCCTGAGGAGCCTCCAGATCCAAAGGAGCTCCCCGTCCCTGACATGCCCCCAGAACCAGAGGAATGCCCCATCCCATAGGAGATGCCAGAGCTGTATGAGCCACCATAGGACTGGGGAAGCGATGTTCCCACAATGCTTTCCTGAGGGCAGGTGCTAATAATCGGGCCCGGGAAGGTGAGGACAACCGGCGGGCCATACACCACGGCTCTGGAGTCCCCACACGATGCTACACAGGGCCCAAGGCTGTTGCTGTAGGCACACGGCTGTGGGCACGTCACCTCACAGGCAGGCAAGCACCGGGAGCTGATGCTGTTGTTCATTGTTCTCAGGTGAAGCTGGGAAAGACAACATGTAGTCAGGAAACCATCACAGTCAGATGCCAATGGGTGCCCATCACATACGTGACAGCAATGGGGTTAGGTAGGCAGATCAGATCCTTGTTCATGCTTCCTATTCCTCCCTTAAGGCCTCCTGTCCCATGATCCTTTTTCTTCCTTCCTTCTTGCTCCTGTGGAGGATGCCTAGGACTTTATTCATAGAATCATAGAACCATGGCATGGTTTGGGTGGGAAGGGACCTCAAAGATCATCCAGTTTCAACCCCTCCTGCCACAGGCAGGGACACCTTCCACTAGACGAGGGTGCTCCAAGCCCCATCCAGCCTGGCCTTGAGCACTGCCAGGGAGGGGGCAGCTACAGCTTCTCCGGGCAACCTGTTCCAGTGTCTCACTGCCCTCACTGTAAAGAACTTCTTCCTAATATCTGATCTAAATCTACCCTTTTTCAGTTTGAAACCCTTACCCCTCATCCTATCACAGTCCCTCCCCATCTTCCCTGTAGACCCCATTTAAGTACTGGAAGTCTGCTATAAGTTCTTCCTGGAGACTTTACTTCTCCAGGCTAAACAACCCCAGCTCTCTCAGTCTGTCTTCATAGGGAAGGTGCTCCACTCCCCAATCATCTTCACGATCTCTCAGTAAGGCTATCTTTACATTTGCACCTCAAGTTTTGAAAGATGTAAGAAAAAATAAAATAACTCTTAAAATTTAATGTTTAAATGTAAAATTGATTCTTATCACTGTCTACAAGTTACTGCAGTGAAATCTCCTATGAAAAATAAGATTTTACTGTGACATCTTATCTCATTGCTAAAATCACAAAATACAGACACAGGAAGGAGTCCTCATTTAAAACTATCACTACAGAGACAGGACAGATATAAAATTATTAGCTTAAATCAAACTCACCTAGAGCACCAAGACAGGTAAGTCAGGAGAAGTTTTTGGGAGACTCCTGAGATGTTCCTGCTTTTATACCTTTTTGCAGGCAACTCCAGGGATGTGAAGCATCTCATAAAATCTTTAGCACTTACCAAACTATGAGTTTTCTTTTCTGGGTGACTCCTCTAATACCCATAATTATTTTCATAGTTTCTAATTAATAAATCATCCATGGACCTACACAATACGACTCTCATATAATAAAGTCAGGGTTTGTATTGTGTTGAAATTGTATGGCCAAATTCCTATGCAATATCATTCTGCTGACTACACTGGATTCACAATGGAAACTGAGTGACCCCTGCTTACCATTTTTTTTGCTACTGATTTACCAAGGAAGGGGCCCCAGAATGAGCAATCCTGCAAGCCTGCTTTCAAGAGTGACCTGACCCCAATGCTGTGCAACATGAGGTAATTCTGAAGTTCAACCTCACTTCCCGGACCCAACACTCAGCAGTTGCTTTCAGGACAGCATTGTGGGAACATCGTTTCCCCAACCATATGGTGCTTTGACTCCATACAGCTCTGAGTCCTACAGGATGGGGGGCTCCTTTGGTTCTGGGGGCATGTCAGGGATTGGGAGTTCCTTTGGATCTGGGGGTTCCTTTGGGTATGGAGGCTGCTCAGGATTGGGGGGGCTGTTACAGCAGGAAGTCCTACAGGAGCAGCCATGCATCCTGCCTTAGAACCTGTGGCTCATTCTAAGGCAGCCCAAATACTCCCACAACTTAGGAGACACATCTGGGGCTGGTTTTCAGACATGGTGAAAGCCCATTGCATCAACAGGAGCTACCCTTGCTCAGTACCTCTGAAAACTGGTCCCACACCTTGTTCTTCCATGTTAGGGTTCATCTATCAATAGCATTTTCATATAGTGGCTTCTCTCCTTAAATTCTTATTTGTCTTGTACTATGTGCTTTCTGGTAGAGTGGAAATTCAGAATTTGCAAGTGGGACTTTGCTGCAAAGATTTCAGCTTCACCTTGTAATGTGCAGTGCCTTTTATCGTCAACATGGATGTTCTGGCTGCCTTTGAACCACATTAATGAACTGCACTATTCTGTTTTGTAGCGCTTATTTCATGTCATAATAAAAAGTCTTGTTGAATCATATTACTAGCTTTCTGGTTTTCCTTTTCTTCCATTCTGCTTTACAAACTAGTTTTGGTGAAATTGAACTCAGTGGGAGTCAAAATAGGAAGTGGAGCTCCACTTGTGTGAAGGGAAATAAAATTCAACATCCTCATGCGTGGCTGCATGAAAGCACCGATCTCATTGCTCTTTCTGTGTAGGGCAGTATTTCTACACATTTTAGTGGCTGGAAGGAGTCATTACTGAGTACTCATTTCAGTTTGAGCACATTTTGGATACTGTGGTTTGCAGAGGATGAGTCGTAATTTTACCTATATTCAGCTTCATGCAGTAGCACTCGCACAGTACTAAGAGGATCAGAGTCAGTGATTTTGAGGCTGAGCCAGGAATGTTCATATAAACTGCTACACACGTGACTTCAGTGAAGGTGATGCCTCACCCTTTACAAAGCAGAGTTACACCCACACACAGTTCTCTACTCAATAGGCTGAGGAATGACACCTTGAGTAATGAGAATGAAAATTGCTGGGGCATTGCTGTCACAATCTTATCTGTGGTGCACTGGAGTAAAGTCAGACATTCCTGAGCTGAGACTAAAACTGGAGTCCCAAAAGCTAAGTGACTGCTTTGGTACTTTGGGACCCAAGTGAGTACAAATACATCTCTGCACATATCTTCAAGCAGCTGAGAATATCAATTCTGGACTAGGAGAAAGGATTTAGATTAGATATTAGGAAGAAATTGTTTACTGTGAGGGTGATGAGACACTGGAACAGGTTGCCCAGAGAAGCTGTGGCTGCCCCCTCCCTGGCAGTGCTCAAGGCCAGGTTGGGTGGTGCTGGGAGCAACCTGGTCTGGTGGGAGGTGTCCCTGCCCATGGCAGGGGGGTTGGAACTGCGTGGTCTTTAATATCCCTTGCCACCCAAACCATTCTATGATTCATACCCAACTAAAAGTAATCCTGCTTCTTCAACAATCAAAATATATATCATTAAGTCTGTGGATTATGATCTGACTAGCGGAACATCGTTACTTTGCTTGACAGGCTTCTTGTACAGTAATGCCATTACCACTGGGTGACATATTTCAAGCAATATTCTGTTAACGTTATGGTGCGGCACCCTGCATGCATAAGCTCACAATATGAGTAAAGCTATTTGAATACTTCTCCCAAGATTTTCTGATTGAAATTCCTGTTTCATCAAAAAACTTGCAGACATACTATCTCAGAGATCTGTGTAAAAGATAAGAATGAGGAAAAAACCAATTAAAACCAGATGCAAAGTTGTAGTGGAAGAATCTGTTTCTCAGGCAGTTCTGGCAATGATTGTGCATGAGGCATTTTGTGATCCTTAATTCTGAGAGAGCACAAGGGCATTCATGTAGCTGTTGCCTGAGGGAGCCCATTGTGATGCTTAATAAGCTCAAATCATTTGCTGCATAAATGCTTCAATTAATTTAACAAACCACAAGGATTAAGACAATCAAAGGAAGGAAATTAATGTTATGCTTGGCACTGCAGCACTTGCTCAGCCTACGCAAGAGCCCTCTCTTGTCACGAACAGCAACACAATGGAAATGGCTCCTAGAGAAAAATGTTGATACAGCTGTTGGGGGGAATTTCCTATCTTACTTCAAGGCACATCCCCGAGTGCAAGACTTGTAGTCCGATTCTCGATTTCATATAAATAACTTCTTCCCATTCCTCTTGGCTCTGCCTCCCCACAACAATCAGATCTAGGCTAACCCATTTGCCTTTCCAGTCTGTAATCAGATGAACTATTTTACCATCAAGACTAGATTAATTAGAGCACAACTTTCCCTTCTGATGGAGTCAGGACCATGCAGTCATTTCAATCCCTGTTGAGGGCTGAAAAAATTTCCTCAGGGATATTCAAGGAATGACTGATAAGGAATGAACCTGAGTAACCGACCTAGCTTCCAACTGACCTTGGTTTTGAGTGGGAGCTGTACCAGACCATCTCCAGAGGTCTTTCCAACCTAAATTATGGTATGACTCTGTTCTATTTATTAGTATGTATACGATGGTATATATCAGAAAGGGAAAAAAAAATACTTTGTTGAAGAATTTCTGACAATTTATGTTTGCCATACAGATGAATTCATTCTTCTGTGATGATAATCCTCAATTAATGCATAAGAATTGATGCACAAATTCTTTCAGACTGGTTTGTAACTGTGAAACTGTAGTGAAATGAAAGCCAGGCAACAATGCTATGATGCAACAGGGCTTTAATACTAACAAAAGGTGGAATACATTCTTGCAGAATGAGGCAATGCAGAGACAAAGAATGTAATTTCCATTTCAACAAGGACCACAATCAATCAGCCATTCAGAGGAGCACAGGGCTCACAAGACATTCTTCTTTCAGCTGGATGTTTTCCCATTCAAGTCCCCTTACTTGTTGTACCCTCTTCAGGTTCAGAAAGAACAATACATAACATGAGCAAATGGCAAAGTGAGGCAACACTGGGATCGTAAGCCTTAGATAAAGCACAGTGAGATCCCAAGCAACCCCAGCTTGTACTGACATTGGCTGGAGCAGAGGCTGCTTGGCATTTCTGATTTCCAGGTCTATACATCAATTACTAATTTGTATCTTATTATTCCTTCAGTTGTTACTCTTTCTTAAAGATTTAAAATGGACCATAGTTTCCATAGCGATATCTATAATACCCTCTGGAAAAAAAGGGGAAATAACTTCTACCAAATCCTGAAACAAATGAGTTTCGGTAAAAGCTTCCCAAACGGGAGATTCCACCACCACACGAACTCTCCCCACCACATGAGCCCCCTCCCATGCCACCATAAGAACCACCTGAACCATGGGACCCCATCCCATAGGAGCTGCCTCCACCACAGGAACCCATTCCTCCACCCCCCGAGCCCATTCCTCCACCTCCGGAGCCCATTCCTCCACCCCCCGAGC